TTTTATATATATAATGTTTATCCTTCTTTTCTAAGGCAAAATGCATCTCCGGAGTACTGAGGAAATTTCTCTCTATTTAGCTATTAAATGGGGGAGGAATGATAGTTAGAATAGAACCATTCTGTAATTTCAAATTATGAGATAATGCATCTAGGAAATAATCACGAATGGATGTGAATAACGAAAAGAGAGAGACAACCAAAAAAGAGCTTCTGTGCTTCTTGGAAGACACGTATACCACCACCTATAGAAAATCCTTGAATCAGATTAAGCCTCTATCTGATTACCAAGTTCCAAGAAACACAAAAGAGCAACATGTTAAATGTCATCATGGGGATTCAATCACCAAAATCTAGGTTGTTAGAAACTCTACAGGACAAAAATACAGTTTTTTCGACAAGTAAGTTGTAACTAGAGAGAGAGGGAAAAAGACAGATAGACACGAGGAAGGAAACTATAGATTTAAAGAGATTTAAGAGTCATAAAAGCTATTTGTTGATAGTATGGACCTTATCTGAATTCTGATTTTATAACCTAATGCTTTGTAATGAGTTATAAGAAATCCATAGTTGGTCATTCACATGACCAAATATATATTACCCAGGTATATGTGGTCTGCATCCACAGTTTCTGAAAACACTGCAGGTCTTGAAGGTGAAACAGGTGTTTTGTCATGTTAATGAGAGACTTTTGGATGCCCCAACCCCCAGGGGTGGGGTCTGGAGGCTGAATCAGCCAATGGCCAATAATTTAGTCAGTCCTGACTGTAATGAAGCCTTCACAAAACCTCTGAGAGGAGTTTTTTGCTCTCACTCTCTCTGCTCTGCTCTGCCTGCCCTGCTTGGTTTGGCTGCATCTGGCTTCTTGGTTGGAGAGCTTCTATGCTTGGGAACCAGAATGCCTCCACGCATCACCCAGCCAAGCCCCAAGCTCCATGAGGACAGAAGGTCCTTTATTCAGGACCTTGCCCTATGTCTCTGTTCAACTGGTTGTTAACTTGTATCCTTTATGGTATCCTTAATTAAACTGGTAAACGTAAATGTTTTCCTGAGTTCTGTGGGCCGCTCTAGCAAATTAACTGAACCTAAGGGAAGTCATGGGAACCCCCAATCTCTAGCTGGCAGGTCAGAAGCACAGGTAAGCCTGGGGCTTGCGACCAGCATCTGGAGTTGAGGGAGCAGAGGGCAGTTTTGGAGGACACAGCCCTTAACCTGGGCATCTGGTGCTGTCTCTGGGCAGATAGCCTCAGAACTGAGTTGAGTTCTCCAACACCCTGCTGGTGTTCGAGAATCATTTGGTGTGTAAGTATGTGTGGGAAAACCCCCTCCCGCATACCTACACACATGGAATCGGATCTGGGAACCCTAATGAAGTTACACTACTATTACTTCTATGTATAATATTGTTACTGTTATACATACATGTAGGGAAAAAATACACCATTGCATTTGGTGCTAGAGATGTGGCACCTACTCACTCCAGACTGATCCAGTTGAGGGCATCTGAACAGACTGGATGTTCAACACTCATAAGGAGTTATGGTTCTGTTTTGGGATATTATAATGATATTGTATTTATGGCTACAAAAAAGAAGTCTTACTTTTAGAGATTCATACTGAAATATTTATGGGTAAGGTAATAAAATGTCTGGGATTGGCTTCAAAATAATATGATAGGGAGGAAGTAGATAGAATACAGATAAAACTAGGTTTTCTATGAGTTCACAGTTCTTTCAGCTGGGTGGTATATACTATTCTCTCTATCTGAATAACTAGTGGGGTATTCAAACAAGTGAATTTAAATACAAGATTAAATGAAAAGAAATGGAAGAAGTGGAAGGACTTGGCAAATACCATGTATGTATCACAAAATGGAGTTCCAAGGAAAAGCAAACTCATTCTTTGGGAGGCTGAATACTTATTTAATAGCAGTCATATCTACTCTAATTATTTCTTCTATTTCTTCCATACCTCCCTGGTAAGACAGGTTAGAGTTTCCTGCAAGTGTCTCCTAGCAAAGAGGAGACAGTCATCACAGGCTGATTCTTCCCGGAATACATCCCAGTGCATCCAGAAGCAGCCACCCGGTGGCCAGGGTTTGTGGCAGCAACAGCAGGTCAGGCAGGAAGAGTGCTGTGCGTGGGCCTGACGTCCAGACCTGCTCAGGGCAGCCGAGGCGGGGCTCATGTCCACAGTTACATGAACCCACAGAGGGGGGCAGATAAAGGATGACAGGCAGCCAGTAACAATGGGAAAGAAACCCTTTGGTGAGAAAGGAAGACTAAGTCTTATAAAGTCTCATAAAGACTAAATCATATAAATTATAGAAGATTTTTATTTTTTTCCCTGGCATCATTATACATTTTAAATAATAATTTGGAAATCTGATTTTTAAAAAAGCAAATATTTTTAAAGTAATTTGAAAGTATATAAGGAGAGTACTACTACTCTGAGTAGCCTGGACTACAAAATAAAGACCAGGAACTGTGAAAAAAGTGTCTGAATCTTAAAACATAAAAGTAAGGTTTGATGCCCTACTGGATATTCTGATGACTTTACTTCAGTTTTACTTTTTTTCCCCATGAAAATATGGAGTTTATATCAATGGTTCTCAAGGGAGGTGTGTACATATTTCACAGGATATAGAAAGGCGTTAGTAGGCAGTTCTAATTTTAAAATAACTCTGGATGACGCTGACATACACTGTGCCTCCAGTCCTCTCTTGGAGGTCCCTGTAGAGAGGCTGGCTGAGGCCCATGTGCAGCCAAAATGCACCTGAGGTCATCCACATGGAAAGCTGGCCAGTACAATTTCAAATACTCCTTTAAACTTAGCAGAGCTGCCATGTCAGACAAAGGATATTGAGATCCCCCGGTACTCCATGTCCCATGCCACCTCCCTGTCTGCCCAGCATGGGGTCAGCTTTGAGCTGTGCAGATGGCAGGAGGAGGGCCAGAGGGGATCCCACCACTGGCCGTGTATCAACAAGTACACGCATGTATCTGCCCACCCGCCCCACTGCTCCCATGCGGCTGAGGGACGGTGATGGCAATGACACAGTGCTCTCTGCAGGCAGACTTGTGAGCATCATGGGGAAGGGCCTGAGGAAGAGCGTCTGACCAGACACGGACAACACTCCTTGCCTCTACACTCTCCTTTCCTTCTCTGGTGTGCCTGAGACTACTGCGGCTTCTGAAAAGGCTGACCATCTCTGTTGGACAAAACATGCAGACCTACCACAGCATCGCTCACTACAACTGATCCTGAGTTTCATGCCTGTAATGGCCTCTCAGGCCGGATAGACCTGTTTCTTGGATAATTACAGTGTCCACAAACCTGTTCTTCCTCAGTAAGAAGGGGGATGTAAGTAGGTGGCACCTTCCATGTGGCATGTTTGAAATGCAGTGCCCTGGACTGAAATGAGTAGCCCACCGTGACCTGCCCTGTGCCTAGGAAGGCGGTTTGGTGTCTGCAGTCCTTCTCAGAAGGGCGCCCCCAGTGACACAATCGCATACACAGTGAGGCCTATGGTCTGTAAAACAGTGTGGACAGCAGGTGAAAAGGCCTTCTCCCAGGCCCTCCGTCACCATAATTCCAAACAGCCCACAGAATTAAAAGCCTTGGTAATATCAGGTAACACTGCAGCACTGTTAACTTTGTAATTATTTAAGTCACAAAATTAACAATTGCATTTAACTATTAAAAATTACACCCCTAACAAAGCTAAAACCAAATTATTTATTTTAATTTAGCTCTAAAAGTTCTGTACACATTGGAACAATTTCTGCTATAGCTACTTTAATCGTATTCCTCTCCCAAACTTCCCTAAGGAAAGGATTACATTTAGGACACAGAAGATGTTAGGAAAATTTAGACTTAGTAACTGCTCAATAGTAAACATTTTCAAATTACATTTATTTTTCCCATTTTGGTCATCATTGTGTTTTTATAGCCTGTGTCAATATGTTACGTGTCTCAGCATGGACAGGACTTGAAAAGGAGAGGAGAAATGAGTCCCTTTGTAAAAGTAAAGAATTCTATTTCAGGTACACCAAGGCAAGGGCATCTCACCCTCCCCTTGAACATACAGAGTCCCTTTTCAGACAAGTTGCAATAAAGGCAAAGATTCAAGAATCTGATTAGTCAGACTAAGTTCTTAGTCAAAACAGAGTTCTTAGTCAAAAATGATCTTTGAATGAGGTGAGTAAAAACCTGTGAGCATGGGAAAATGAAGACTAATCAGTGTGGATGGGAAAAACCACTCATGATATTTAGAATGTCAAGACCTGGGCTGGACTGTACACAATGCCAGACTAAATATTACCTAGAACAAAAACAAAAACAAAACAAAACACAAGAGAAAACAACCAAATTAACAACTAAACCAAAATTTAAAATATCGTTCTCAAAGAGCAGTCAGGCAGCATTTCCCACAAGATAACCTGACTTTCATAATGACAATTCAGTTATTCTGATCTTATTTAAATTATGTGTAGGCATTTTCTTGAGGCGAACATAGCTAAACAGGGCGAATATGGACTGATGTGTCCATGAAAAGAAGATACTCTCACAGCTATGCACAACATTCATATCAAATTAAAGGCCAAATACCTGCATAGCTTTGGAAAAGTATGAGCACTGGATCAGTATTACACAGACTTCCTTCCGGCTCTTGCCTACCATTAAAGAAAGAAAACCCTTTGGTGTCAAAGGCTTTGTCTAACTACCAAAACCATTCCTCACACAGCAAATCTGAATGAATCACTAAAACATTTTCAACCGTAATTACTGCTATAATATTTGTATTCTTTTAAGTTTACTGGAATTATTATTTTGACTACTTCTAAAATACAAGCCCTCTCCTATGTCACTCAGCTATAAGGTATTCAAATCAACCAGAGTTCTTAGTCAAAGCTGTTAAAGAGGTGGGTTAAATAGATTTAATGGAATAAAAAAAAACTGAAGATAAGTTATATACACAAATGTAATTGTAATACTTACCTATCAGCCCCTTCTCAAGAGTAAAGGTTTTGTTTGTGAACATACATTCAAAAGCCACAATGTGAAAAATCTTGTTCACTGTATTGTGAGTCCCAACTATTCGAATATACCTGTGGGGTAAAAAGAAAAGAAAAGTTGTTAAAGAAAATGAGCTTCCATAACAACATATCCAAAGATAACAGAATATATTATGTAAACTAAAATGTACCAGGGTATGAACTAAAGGAGACTTTGGACTTGACTTTAGACCCTGTACCTGCTCTTTAGGGCTAGCTCCAACTGAGTCTAGAAGTAGAACAGCAAAATTAGGGAGATACCACTTTACAGAGAATGAAGTAGAACATAGATCTGATTTGCCTAGAAAATCAAACCAGGTTCTGTTCACCTCAACCCCTGAATGTCAGAAAGATTACATGTCAATGAGACATTTACGCTGGAGAATAACGAAGAGCTTCTTCTATCCTCGCCTTGTAGTTAGGAATGTGCTTGTGCACAGGTGCACAAACACACACCAAATCAAATGCTTTCCAACTCAATGGAAGATTTCATCCATTAGAGACAAATGCATGAAATCAATAATTGCTTTCTCTTCTAAAAGAAAAATCCACAGAAACTGCTACTGAAAACCACTCATAGTTTCTTCTATTTTAATATTGCTCCTAAATCCTCTTTAGGAAGTTACCTATGTACTTATGCCAGCCCCCCACTTGACTGCCAGGAAGCCTTCTCCTGACCACAGGAAGGGATCTGCAGTGACCAAGCCTGCCCTGCAGCTCCCTCCTGTCCTGACCACACAGCTCTGGCATCTGCACACAGTGCAGAGTTTCACAGAGCAGGTCTTGAGCATCTCAGCCTGTTCACCCTCTTGTGACTCCCTGGAGCCCTCACCTCTGACAAACAAGCATTAACCTTGGAGTGACTTGCTCCTTTCCCTCTCCGAAGGGACCTGACAGTTCACAAGTTAATGAACAGACAAAGTCATTCTTCTGATTGTCATACAAATCCATGGGGACGGTGTCACATACCATCTTACTGGAATTCAAAGGAAGAACCAGAAAAAATAACTAGATTAACTGGTAACAGTCTCCCACATTATGAACTATGCACTCTGAAGGATGGGATGTATTAAATGAACAGATTTCAATGAGGAAATGACAGACTGGGCAAGGTTTTAGTGACAGCCTCCCCCCACTGTGTAAAACCACCCTTGGTTCAGATGATAGAATTTTACTTCTGAGTTAATCGCTGTTCACTAATTCAGTAATTTCCTTACATCTCTCATCACTCCAAGTTAACTGTATAATGTAAATGCCAATTTAACAAATTCATTTAAGAGACTACATTTGGGGATTTTGTATCGTGGGCTATTTTCCCTCCCATTTCTTCAAGCCTGAATCTCATGGCATTCCCTGTGCACCTCATTTAGCCATCTGCTCCTTGACATGAGCTAATCACTCGTCTTCATAACCAGGAAAAATGCTATCTCCTGGACTGGCTGCTCAGGGTGTCCATACCCACTACAGGGAGACACCATGCTTCCTGTGCAGGAGGTCAGGGCAACTGCTGCACGCACCACAGCCCTCTGGTTAAACAGGACATGGCCCTGATCTGTTCTCTCCAGCCCTCAAGGCAGACAGAAGGTGCTGAATTTACGGGGTTTGGGCGGATAGGTGGGGTTTGTTTAAATTAAGTTCTAAATGGTCTGGGTAGAACAGACTGTGTTGTTTTTTATTCTTGGTAGTGACACTCTCTGGGCTTTCTGGAAGGGAAGGGATGTGTTAAGGGAAGGATCTTGGCACCGTGGCCTGAATCTAATTTTGTCCATTTCCTAAACCCACAAGAACTCAACCAGCATAGCATTTTCAACCACTCTGGTTGTGGCAGCCCATGCACTGCTGTCTGCAATCTTGGAGGGAATGGAGGGAATGTGGTTTGGTGGAATTGGATCATATCATTTTCCTGTTCCCTAGGTTGAGTCTCTACCAAAGGATAGACAGCTCTCCTAAAACTGTACAAGGTAGAGGAGCCAGGAAGTGCTAATAGGGCTTTCCCTATGGGCACTTCTTAAGGTTAACAGTCCAGGCTGACCTATGGAGATGCAATAATGTTTCTTCCTTCCCTTTCTTTCTTTTTAAAACATTATATGGAACCAGGCTTTCCAGGTTTAGATAATAGTCATTTCCCCAATTTTACCCTGGTATAAATATCAAGAGTAGGAGAAAATATGCAACCTTCCCCTCCTTCATCCCCCAATTATAAGAAACTGAAAATAAAAAATTGTACCAGAATACATTTTACAGTCTTAATGGTAGTGTTTGTGATAACAAACAAGATAATACATAGGATTGGAAAAGCACACGAGGTGCCTCCAGATAAAAAGTTCTATATAAATGAACATAATGTTATCTCTGCTGCATAATCCTGAAGTCAAATTAGCAATTCACCACTCTACAGCACACTTCTTGATTAGCCTGTTATATATAATGCTTATAACAAGTTTAATTATTCTAGTTCTACAATACTTTCTAAGTCTCCATAAAATCATAGCATAATTTACAAAATATGGAATAAAGTCCTTGTTCAAATACACATTTTTAAAAATGTTAACAAAAATGGTAAGAAACCATGCTCCTTTTCTCCAGTAAGGAGTTGCATACCACAGGACTCTGTCCTTTACGAAAGATCTCAACTAGAAATAGCAAATAGGCTTCAACTAATCCCCCAACTTCTGTGACTGTAGGGCAGCCTGGAGCTCTACATTAAGACCTCAGAGGCCCTATCCAGCTTAGAGGGAGAGGGAGGAGGCATGGACGGCATTCCTGACCACAGGCAGATTTCCTCTGTGGGGCTCACAGTGGAGCACCCTGAAGTGGGAGAGAAGTTATTACTACCTGAGCTACTGAAAATCCATGGGCTGCGCATGGGAGAGATTCCTCTCTCTCTCTCTTTTTAACTTGTTTGAAAAACAAAGGAAAACTTGCATCTGGGTCATAACATCTAAACAAGAGATGTAGATAACACATTCTCTCTGTCACAAAAGATTTTGAGTAAGAGGTAAAGCTTAAGATTTTTTTTTTCTTTTCAGCATCATCTTTCCAAAGTCAGACTCTGATTTAACCTGATAATAAGGGCAGTGGCAGCTAGTGACTTCATCAGTGTGCAGAGAGGGGCACTGCTGAAAAATATAACAGCCCTCCTTTGTTCTCTGTGATCCTCAATAGCAGCTCGACAGTTGGAAGATAATTAAAACTTAAAGAGTGCTGAGGAAGGCAGATATGCAACAGATTGGCCATTTCTGATGAGGGTGACTGCTGTCCACGTGGGCCCTGGTGGAACAGTCTGTCTCTAGTCCTCTCCTCCCTTCCCCCTGTTAGCTGTCTTCTAAGTACTGACAAAGACTGGATCCTGAACACAGTTCAGACAGGACTGAAACACAGTTTCAGTGTATAAGTTAGGTGTTATAATATTGCCAGTGAAAAGAGGTTTTGTCTTCTTTAATAATATGAAACCTAAACCCCCCCAGGGCAGCACTCTGAAGCTGCAGGGCACTACAGAGGCTGAATAAGGCGCTTGAGAGTCTAACAGAACCAGGTTTGTAGCCCAGCCCTGCCACTTAATTTACTGTGTCACTCTGGGAAGAAAAATGCTTTAAATTTTTTGAACCTTACCTTCTTTATAAAATGAGGTCAGTAACACAAACCATATAGGATATTTAAATGAGATAAGTATCTAAAGTGTCCAGTGCAGTGCTTGGCAGAGTAGGATATTATTAAATAGAAATGTAAAGAGTAGCTCATTGGATGCAGAATGTCTTGGTTAGGATTTTTAGAATGCTGGTTGTCTGGGAGAAAATTTCTAACTGGGGATGTAAAAATGGTGCCTCCATGAGGAGGCAGGCCCAGGCACAGACTTCTAGAACCCAGGCAGGATCTCATCCTTCCTCTTACAGCACCACGGTATAGCCATTAAGGGCCACAGAAAGCAGCTACATTCCAAATGCAGATTACGTGGCTCTGTGGCATTTCCTGCTTTAAGCCCCTAGTCTTTAGAAAAGTCTATTTAGAATGTTCTTACCCTGACTCAGCTATGTATAGAGAGGCAAGGGAAGAATCTTTTTGGTCCAGCTACCCATACCCACAGAAGAGTGTTTTTTCTGAATGAAACCCTGGAAGTTTGGAGTTTTAATTTATTAAGAAAAATAGCATTTCCTAACAGACAGAGAGACAACATAATACTATGACTTAGAGGAATTTTTCTTTGGAAATTTCAGTGCATTCCCTGTCTAGATAGTTCTGGAAAGGTACAAATTCCTATTCTTAACCTTTCTTCCCATTGTTTCTTGTCAATATGCTACCAGATTTAATTCTTAAGTCACATACATCTTTACCATAATAAAATATAGAAAAAGAGCAACTTATAATACATTCCCACTTTAAACCCCTTGGTATTCTCTAGTCTTTAGTTCTGGTGGGCCACAAGGCTACTTGTGGTTATAATTAATCCTTGACCTTTGTCTCCAGTTATAAGATCATCTAACTTCTATACTGAGCAGGTTCTACTACAAGATAAAATAAAATTCAGTAATAAATGTTTAAAATAACTTTCAAGGCATCAACTAAAGCCAGAATCCATCAGAATTCTATTCTTTGGGTAAAGAAAGTTTTATTCTAAAATTGAGCTTCACATTTTTGTGTTAAACAAAGACTCGAGAAAACTTGAGAGTTCCTATGACTGGTGCACAAGAAGGGACTCTTAACATTTTGGCTTTTGCTCTGAGGTAGCCACAGAGAATTTGAAAGAGAAAACTGTTCTTTGCATGGCCAGATGCAGCCACCTAAGAACTTCAGCAGCAGCATTTACTAAGGACCTGTGGATTTGGATTCACCACTTCCAAGATTTCCTAAATGACTTCTCCTTTCAAGAAAATAACTGAGAATGTACATAAGTAATTCTCTAACCAAAGAAGCAGGTAATGTCTACAGGTTTCCCCAGTATAATATTTTCTTCTAGTTCTGGGTACAATCTTAGTGCTCATATAATCAAACCACAAACTGGAGGAGGAAGTGACTTCAGGGCTTGATGCTAAGGCAGCAAGTGGAAAACAGTTTAT